GTCTCCCTTTCCTTCTCGCTGTAATTTTTATCTTCCTGTATCCAGTGAAAAAATGTGAAAAACAGGTGGTGCAAACAATGCATAGGATGTAACTTGTGTATTTAGAAGGACTTGAAAGTGTGTGCCTGATGTTCGCAAGGGTTTAGATAGAATTCCTGTTCCCTTGCTAAAAAGAACCGGATTGCAAGTTTATACGCATATGATCTAACGATCTGACTGTTTCTACTGTTGTTCTGCTGAATATAAGCACCAGCAATATGGACTGCTGCTTGTAGACATAATGTGCTAGTCGAGCGCATGTGAAATGTTTTACTTTGCAAAACTAGAACAGGTGATGAAACAGCAGTTGGGTCTAGCCAATAAGGAATTGTCAGAAAAATCAATCAGGGGAAACACGTTGAAGCCAAAGCCCTGACTCACTAGAGAGTTTGGTCTGCAAATGTCTGTGTGATTCTTTTTGCATTGTTATTCCTATCCTCTTTCCACCTGTGTGACTCACATTTCTGTTTACAAATCCTCCTTCGCACGTAAACAGAATGAGAGATTCTCTTTGAACAGAGCAGCAGCTGCTATTACAAAACGCTAATCAATTGCAATTACTTCAGTGGTCTAACATGCTATGAGAGGCTAACCGGGTGCATTGGATGCTCTGTTTACCTCTTTTTTCATCGCTATCTAGTTCTAACTCGGTACCAGACAGAAATTGCATATTAGATAGATTACTAGTGCACGTTCCCTCTTTTCTTTCTGACGTATCTTCTCTGAGGTTTTGTCCTCAGTCACCTTCAGGTACTACATAAGGAGGACTGTGTATGATGGTGGGTTTGTCTGTTAGATTTTGGCTGAAATGCGCAAGTCTTTTGTGATATGTGTATATACAAATACCGTTTTTATAGAGTAAGATAGAGGTATTGTTGCCTGTGCCTACTGCTTCGTTTGGGTTGTGCTGGAGAAAGGCAGGTTCAGACTCCACAGGACACCAGCTAGAGGGTGCTACAAGCTTTCAGTCACGTATCTGCCTATGCATCTAACCAGTTCTTGTTCCTCCCAGGATAATTATCCCCGTTCACAGGACGGTTTCCCCTATACAGCTGTAAGTAAATTGCAGAGGCAGAGAGAAATTGGCTACAATTTCTTCCCTAGGACGTTTGCCAACGCCAGAGGCCTTTGTAAAAGCCTCTGCCTTCCAGAGAAACCATCAAGATTGAATGATGGAATGAACCAATGGATTAACTACAGGAGGATATTTCTGTACTCTGTATTTTGTAAACAATGGTGCTGACTCATTTTTTATTACAGAAGAATGGTTCTCGGGGCCTTGCTCGTTGCATGAAAAACTGTTCGCAAAGATGATCAGGTCTAAAAGGTAAACTTTTTTTTACAGCATAAGGTGAGTTTTACCTTTTCTAGTAACTATTGAGTGATTACAAGTGGTCACTACCTTATTTAAAACGGATAGGATGGTTCGGGGAAAGGAAATCATCAGTTCTTGTTCAGATGCAAATTTTAGACTTTGCTATTATCATGGCATGATTTTGTGATAATTTTAGGTCTCAATCTCTAAAGCTTCAAAAAATTCTGGAAAAATTGCAAAATAATGCTAGTGAAACCAACAGTTATTTTCTATAGGAGTGGTTTCCTTCAGAACAGGAATCTCAGTGAGCACTCCTGATCTTATGCTCAGCAGTCAGTCTGCTTTCCAACCTGCATCAGAGGTACTTCACCCAAAATTTGACACCATATTACAAAACAGCAAGAAAACTCATGCTATACAACATACCTCAGATAATCTCCTATAGGTCCTTTTAAACACTAATAAATCCACCCGATTCTTGCTTTCGTTTGAAGGAAAAAGTACACTCCATTCTTATTTCAGGAAGGATACATCCTTACTAACATAGTCTGTGAATCTGTGGTGAACAAACATAATCTGTGCTGCTGATTTAAACTACAAGTTGAATGCAACTTGTGCTTTTTTACATTTCTGGTTGAAATAGGTTCTGAGGGATTAAAACCTAACCCAAATCTGTCTGAACATCCTAAGGATGTGGTGGTTTTGAAAACGAGATTTAGACTTTTCTGTCTGAAGTATTGATGATACTGTTTGATGCCTGCGACTTTGAACTGCCTCTGTGGCTTCAAAGATGATCCTCCTCAGATATTTCTTTCTTTCATTCATAGTCTCCCCTTATTAACTGACATATGTGTTGTTGGGCTCTACTGCTTTGCGTAGAGAAGGAAACAATCAAAAGGTACAGAATGTGTACTGTGCTTAACGTGAAAGCGACTTGATTAGCCTGAGTTTGTCTCACTGAGCAGAATACTGACTTCAAAGGAAATTTTCTCTTTTTTCCCTTGGCAAATTATAGATTATAAATTCCCATTACTACTCTCTACCGAGAGGTAGGAAAGTGGTGTCGGGGGGGGGGAGGGGGGAATCCCTTTTTGGAGTATTTTCATTGAAAATGTTTTGGTGAATAGAGGGAGACTTATGGGTATCCACCCATTTGGACGGCTAAAGCCAGTTTCCAAGAATTTTAACAAAGGCTGTCTTGGAGAAACACCAGGTCCTATGGCTGGAAGAAACTGGGATGCTTGTATCTTGTTTGAGTAGTGATGCAGCTCAGGAGATAACAGGTTCATCATATTTCTTTAATTTCTAACGGCTCAGTCAATGTGATTTTAATAGGATAGCTTTATATTCATACTGCTTACAAAACTTCTACATGATCGCATGAAGCTCTTTTTATGTCGCTCTAACCAAATCAGAGCACCCTAAAGACATGTTTTCCACCTTTCCGGACAAAGGCTAAAAGTAGGATTTTATAAACAGCTCAAGTCTGGTTTTAACTTCCAGCTAATGAAATTAAACTGAGACCAGAAACAAGGTATAACTTTATATTAATCACTGGAGCAATAATGTTAGGGATGTTGCATATTCTCTATTTAACTGAAAGCTTGATTTCAAAATTAGGTAACTTTAGGCTAAGCCGGAACATAATAGCTCAATAAATGAATCACATGGTCAAATTCCATGGTCTATTCTAAGTCAGCACATTGAATTACTGTAGTAGTCTCCCTTGCAAATAATAAACAAAGAACCATAAATAACGGCTTTTTATTTCTCAAATCAAAAAGGTGCCTTTTAAAATATTCTGCTTTGTGGGGAAACTTAAAATATTCTGCTTTGTGGGGAAACATATCACTTTCTTTTTTTGTACTTTTTCCCCACTGTGGCATAAAAAAGAGAAGAGGAAGTGAGCAAAAGAGGGGAAAAGGTGAGTTTTTTTTTTTTTTAGTAGTAGTTTGGAAAAAATCTTGAAAATGGGAAAGTTGCCTATTTTAATTCTCCAACTTATACATTTCTTCTTTCATATACAGGAGTTTTAATGGACATCTTCTACACTGATACAAGAAGATTTTTTATGAGGTTCTCACTCTTCCTATTGCGTAAAATATTTGCAACGCCTACGTTGCATGATGGCGGCACCTACGTGCCTGTCAAAGATTAGGCTGCACGCTGCCAGATGCTCTACAAGCCTTGGACAACGCCTGTATATGAAAATGTGCTGGCACAGCATGTGGACACTTAGTTTGGAAGAAATGTCCAGCTGAGCGGTTTACAGCGGGAAGACAGCGAGACCGTTTGTCAGTAAACTTCTTACAGACGTTAGCCCTGACGTACAGAACGGCGCAGGAGAGGGGGCTTGTTTTGGCCCCCTGTTTTATATTAAAGGAGGTGAGGCAGGGCCGTGCGGGCGGGAGCCGGCGCCCAGGGCCGAGCGGGTGTCCAGCCCCGCG